CCTGGAGGGCCGGTGTCCTGCAGTTTAGCTCCAACTTGCCTCAACACAGAAGTTTCTAAGTTTCTAGCATGCCTAGTAAGAGCTTGATTAGCTTGGTGTGTCTAATTGGGGTTGGAGCTAAACTCTGCGGCCCTCCAGCCCTCCAGGACCGAGTTTGGGCACCCCTGCTTTAAATACTTTTCAGCTACTATAACTTAAGTCTTTGGGAAAAACAGTTATTATACATCTGAAATGGATGCAGTCACCACATAACTAATGTATATATTGTCAAAAATGTACAGTAGTCAAAAGGGATTTCAAATCAATGGATTTATTAAATATGAAATAAAAAATATTCAATTCAGGTTAATACAGCTACTGTACATATAGCCAAATAAGATTGTAGGATTTCGTCATGTGAAAGTCTTATCTGTAATGCATCAATTTCCAAACACTGTCTGTAGCTGAAGTTGGCTGATAGCAAATTAACAATCCATCCTCTTGTAATGAAAACACGCCACAGCTCACAAACACCAGACTCTTCCTAACCAGGAACAATCAAAAATAGTCCAGACTATGGTCTCACGTCAAAAATGAAAAACTGGACCATGATGTGGTGCCCTCACCAATAAAGAGTCCTCCTAAAATGCATACAAATACACTGTCTTAAACTCTTAAATAGAAAAAAAACTCCTTAAGACTGGGCTTGAAATGACACATTTCCCAACCAGGACACAGCACAATGTGTTCAGCAGGTGAGCCATGCTGGCTACTGCTGCTTGCTATTGCTAACATCCCTCACACATCATCTTACAGTGATCTCTAGTGGTCACTTTTTTCATATATGCAGCACAGTGCAGGATTTTCTATAGTCTCTCTCTCTCTCTCTCTCTGCCAGTCAATCGTGAGCTCCTCAATTCTGCTAATCCTGGTGGCTTTTGCTCTCCTGTACGAAAAGACCAGACTACAGACACTGGCCAAGTATTCAGGTACACATGCAGGGTACTGATACCCAAGTATGTACTCAGTTTGTTATGTTGATCTCATTGCGGTCTATGAAGTGCTCAAGAAAGATGGGGCCAAAACGGGTGTGGAGGACAAGAAAACGATGGACACTGACATTCCTGTGGTGATCTGTGCTTCAGAGGAGCATATTGGTGCTGCCATGGCAACCATCAACAGCATCTACAGCAATAGCCGTGCAAGCATTTTCTTCTACATAGTTACCCTGCGAGATGCCATCAAAAAGATAAGGTCTCACCTTTGACGCAAGTGTAACACATGCTGATGGCCATGAGCACTCACTTGGTTGCAGTGTTTCTGAACTGACTTTAACTGATTTTAGTGATGATCCAACATATTAAGTAGTTTATTGTACAACATGTCAATACAGACATTTTTAAAATCAAACTTTATTAATGCTTATAAACCTTTATGCATCAAAATACTGGAGTGTTAAATAAACCCTTTAACTTTGACATCTACAACAAAAGCTATGGGAAGCATTTTCTGCTCCCTTTTAAAAGTCGATAAGCCTATTTATTTGCATTTATTATGGTTAGTTGAAGTTTATTTGCATTAATTTGCATTTGTTCTGCTTCCTGCAATCTTTTGCACCCGAGAACCACTGCAATTACATATATACATGTTAGATATACAGGAACTATATAACATAAAGCTGAAAGCAGGACACGCTGCTGCGTTTGCCTCAGACTGTGATCTGCCCCCCACACTTGAGATGGTGCGCAGTGTGGGGATGCAGGTGGGTATTTTGAATATGGTTTACGTATATCGCTTTAGTTACTGTTACATGGATTGATTTCTCGCTTTCATTTAATTAAAACACAATTGCCTCTCACAGACAACCCATATGTGATTTCTGGACTACCGTAAAGAGGAAGTGAGAGAGTTGGGCATCAACCCAAGTGACTGCTCCTTTAATCCAGGTTTTTGTGGCAGACCTTGGTGAATGTAAAAAGCAAAAAATAACTAAACAGCTTGAGAAATGGATGGCTAAGAATGTCACGTGATAGATATATTGGTTCATTTCGAGCTTTTAATGATTTTTGTTACATCTGACTTACAGGAGATATACAGGAACTATATAACATAAAGCTGAAAGCAGGACACGCTGCTGCGGTTGCCTCAGACTGTGATCTGCCCCCCACACTTGAGATGGTGCGCAGTGTGGGGATGCAGGTGGGTATTTTGAATATGGTTTACGTATATCGCTTTAGTTACTGTTACATGGATTGATTTCTCGCTTTCATTTCATTAAAACACAATTGCCTCTCACAGACAACCCATATGGGATTTCTGGACTACCGTAAAGAGGAAGTGAGAGAGTTGGGCATCAACCCAAGTGACTGCTCCTTTAATCCAAGTTTTTGTGGCAGACCTTGGTGAATGTAAAAAGCAAAAAATAACTAAACAGCTTGAGAAATGGATGGCTAAGAATGTCACGTGATAGATATATTGGTTCATTTCGAGCTTTCATGAGATCAAATTAGTTCAGCAGCAACAGATTTCTTTGTTTCCATGTTGATGTAGAGAGAATCTGTACAGCAGTGCGGCCATGCCTCCAATGCGGATCGTCTTTCATGATAAATACACAACCATTAATCCACTGTGGCACGTCAGACACCTGGGTAACTGATTTTTGAACTTTTTTCTGCCAGATCTCACTGAATACTTATTTGAGATGGTGATTCTTTTTTTATATTATTTGAAGCTTTCTATTTACAAAAATATTAAGCAGCACAATAATTTTCCGCATTTATAAAAAAGTTTTTTGAGCAGCAAATCAGCACATTAGAATGATTTCTGGAGGATCCTGTGACACTGAAGACTGGAGTAATGATGCTGAAAATTCAGCTTTGCATCACAGGTGACATTTTGCATATTTCTCTTATGTGACAAAACCCTAAAGGTGTTTTTATAGGTTGCCAGGTTGTTCCATTGCAGTTACTAAGGTGACTGGCACTACAATTTGCATATGCACAAACGTATTTTTAAGACCTGTTTAAAGGACGTACTTTGTGGAAATGTCTTTTCCTGTCTGGTAAGCCTGGGCTTTCATGATCCGTTCCATGTTGCCAGACCATCCGTACTGACTTGCAACCAGAGCGCAGGGAGACTTGGTCAGCCTCTGAGACAAAACGGCCTTCTCGATCTGAAACACGATACAAGGACGAACTTGTTTAAATTTATCTACCACTTCTAAAAGGTCAGTCACTTTATAATATGCAATACAATAAAATTACAGAAAACAATCATACGTTGTCCTTCAGGGCCTTCTCTTTCATCCAGGTGGTGAGGGGTTCGAAGTCTTTCTCCAAAGCTTCCCTCTTCTCCTTGGCCTTGTCGCTCTCGTCGAACTTAACGCCTTCCTTAGCCACATTCTGGAAGCGTTTTCCGTCAAACTCAGGCAGAGCCTGAATGCAGTACTCGTCCACTGGCTCAGTCAGGTAGACGACCTCATATCCTTTCTTAAGAAGCTTTTCCACGAATGGAGAAGACTCAGCCTAAAACCAGAAATATTACATGTTAATAAAGGAAATAGGGTATCTCAGTAAGCACAGTTCAAAGTAAAAACATTTAAGCACCTCCGTCCTGCTGGTTCCAGCCATGAAGTAGATCTTGTCTTGCTTCTCCTTCATCCTCTCCACATACTGCTCCAGACTAGATAGTGTGGTATCACTGTGGGAGGTCTGGAAGCGGAGCAGCTTGGCCAGGCGGGTTCTGTTGGAGTGATCCTCAATCACTCCCAGCTTGATGTTGGTGCCGAACTCCTTCCAGAACTTGTCATTGTACTGTTCCTCGGCAATCTTCTTGATCATGTCCAGGGTCTTGCGCACCAACTTCTTACGGATGACCTGAAGAACGGAGGTATCAGTGTTAGTGTTGAAAGTAATTCATTGTTCAGCAAGTTCATGGCATCATATAAACATACATAAACCATCAATCGATGTTACTTTGATCTGTAACACGATGTGCTCACCTTGAGCAGTTTGTGTTGCTGCAGAGTCTCTCTGGACACATTCAGTGGCAGATCGTCGGAGTCCACCTGAGAGATGAGATCAAACACAGAGTCACCAAACACTCATTATAGTGATGCAGCAAAATAAATTATTGGCCAAAACTGATAAACTATCCATTTTTATTCTATTCAATTAATAGGTCATTAAATGCAATCTGTACGTTAAATAAAATTTAAAAACATCACTATTTAGTATTTATATAAAATTGTATTTATTAATACTTTCAATTAGCTTTTATTTTTACAGTTTCAGTTTTCAACAAAACTACAGTTATGAACAATTTTGTGCTTTCACCATTTATTATACACATTTTATTTCAATTTAGCTTTCATTCACTTATTTCAGTTTTAGTAATTTTAGTACTTCAACTTATTTGATTTCAGCTAGTTGCCAGGGCAACGTTTTTAATTTCCATCTAACATTTATATTTTTTCCAGTTTTTCCATCTAACATTTATATTTTAAGCTTTATTTCAATTAACAAAACCAATTTTTAATCAAGTTTATAACACTGATTATTACCAGGGTTAAAGTATTAAATTACTTTAGAATTGGTTTACTCCAAACACAACTTTTATGCAGAAAACAAAAATGTAACAAACCTATTTTTGGCAAATAAAATTTATTTTGTACCCAGTATTACATTAGTGCAGGCATGCAATCTGCTCAAGAATGGAAATGCTCTTTACTAATGAGCCAGTACACAGGAAGGCTATCACTTCTAGGGAATGCAGCAAAATAAATTATTGGCCAAAACTGATAAACTATCCATTTTTATTCTATTCAATTAATAGGTCATTAAATGCAATCTGTACGTTAAATAAAATTTAAAAACATCACTATTTAGTATTTATATAAAATTGTATTTATTAATACTTTCAATTAGCTTTTATTTTTACAGTTTCAGTTTTCAACAAAACTACAGTTATGAACAATTTTGTGCTTTCACCATTTATTATACACATTTTATTTCAATTTAGCTTTCATTCACTTATTTCAGTTTTAGTAATTTTAGTACTTCAACTTATTTGATTTCAGCTAGTTGCCAGGGCAACGTTTTTAATTTCCATCTAACATTTATATTTTTTCCAGTTTTTCCATCTAACATTTATATTTTAAGCTTTATTTCAATTAACAAAACCAATTTTTAATCAAGTTTATAACACTGATTATTACCAGGGTTAAAGTATTAAATTACTTTAGAATTGGTTTACTCCAAACACAATTTTTATGCAGAAAACAAAAATGTAACAAACCTATTTTTGGCAAATAAAATTTCTTTTGTACCCAGTATTACATTAGTGCAGGCATGCAATCTGCTCAAGAATGGAAATGCTCTTTACTAATGAGCCAGTACACAGGAAGGCTATCACTTCTAGGGAAATGCAATGCAAACCTGCATTATACTTCTAAGAATTTTAAATATGCCACACTCTGTACATGCAGAACTAGGATTGTGAAGGATTTGAGTCACAGAAGTGTCAATACATCCTGAACTTGTATCTTACTGGCTACACTTAAAAATAGACAGACAGAAACACTTACAACGCCTTTGATGAAGTTGAGATACTTGGGCATCATGTCATGGAAGTCATCGGTGATGAAGACTCTACGCACAAACAGCTGAAAACCAAATTGGGTACAGTTAATAACTCAAATATAACAGAATGTTTTCTTTTCCGACTTAAAGATTATCAAAATTACTTTGATGAAGTCATTCTTCTTGGTGCCATACTCATCGAAAAGGCCTCTGGGTGCAGATGCAGGGATGAAGAGGATGGACTTGAAGGTGACCTCTCCTTCAGCGGTGAAGTGAATGTGACCTATGGGCTCATCAGAGTCCTGAAAATTTTAAATGATTCCACTTGAACTGATCCAAGAAGCCACAGAGGATCATACGGAGTTGATTGTGTAAAGCACAGGTTGACTCACCCTGGAGAAGGTCTTGTAGAAGGCTTTGTATTCGTCCACCTCCACTTCCTTTGCAGGCCTCTGCCAGATGGGTTTAATGTCATTCATCAGCTCCCAGTCCCACACAGTCTTCTCCACCTGAAAAAGAGAGAAGAATTGTTCATTGAGAAACATTTAGTAGCCTCTACTGATGTTTACTTGCATATTTGCAGCTAAATACAGTACCTTCTTAGTCTTCGGTTTGTCCTTGTCTTCATCCTCTTCCTCAACCTCAGCTTCATCTTCAGTGGCTTCTTCCTTCTCTGCCTCAGCCTCCTCCTCTTCAATGGGCTCCTCTACAGTCTCAGTCTGGAAATGAGACAAATCGATGAGTTCATCACATCTTCCAGCTAGTTAAGCTATTGGTAAACTCTAAACTAGAAGGTCTAGGGGCCTTTTGTGGACAGTCTGACCTTGCTGCTCCATACGTAGATCGGGAAGTTGATGAATTGAGAGTACTTCCTCACAAGGTTCTTAATGGTCTCCAGCTCAAGGTAGTCTGAAGCTTCCTCTTTCATCACCAGTCTGATGAAACAAGACTACTTTAATAACATGTAACAATGTACACATTTTTTGCAACTTTTTAAGTTCAACTGCTTACGTAATGGTGGTGCCTCTGCCCAGAGTGTCTCCACGAGGGTCCTCGATGATGGAAAACTCATTGGAATCGGATTCCCAGATGTGCTGGGTGTCGTTGTTGTGCTTGGAGGTGACGATGACCTTATCAGCCACAAGGAAGGCAGAGTAGAAGCCCACACCAAACTGACCAATCAGCTCAGAGGTGGATTGATCCTCATCCTGCATCTCAGTCATCTTGTTGAGGAACTCACTGGTTCCGGATTTGGCAATGGTACCAAGGTTCTTCACCAGTTCTTCTTTGGTCATGCCAATGCCAGTGTCAGTGATGTGAAGCATGTTCTTTTCTTTGTCGGACTGGTGAGGACAGACAAAAGATACAGAACTAAATATTGCATAACCTTGATACTAGTAGTAAAACTATTTACTACAGAAACCAAGAACTAAAAATGTGTTTGCATAGCTAAACAAGGTGTTGAGTATCAAAATTAAGATGAAGGAAGGAAATGCTCCTCAATTTGCTTCACACATGTTTGAATTTCTTTTTCAATGCAAATTAAAAAGCGATGTTATATTTCTCTGTTTCAGTAAACCGGGTTAGAGACCGTGACAGCTGATCTGGGGACGGTGTGGGTTTTGTTTACTGCTTTGAACGGGTTGAGGGAAACGGAACAAGGTGATTCAGAATCAGATTTAATTTAGGGTTACGGTTACCTTAGCAACCAGTTGTTGACATGGGTGAAAGACCACAAGAAAGTCACGATAGAATTGCAATTTTTCTGTTTTACTTATTTTATGTTGACTAATATTTTTATTTTTTTTTGCATTTTTTTTCCTTCTCTATTGCATGTAACTATTTCTGAAAATTTCACACTAAAAATGCAAGGAATAAATATCCGAGAAAAAAATATGGGAGAAACTTCTGATAGCTTATACCAGGGGTTTCCTTTTTGGCCTTATCTGTGTTATGTTCCAGGTGATCTTCAAGAAGAGTTGATTTACTTGAAAGCAAAGGTGTTTCCCCACCTAGACACACTTTGCCAGGCAAACGGAACCTGTTTCAGACCTGTGGACTTGCAGCGAAGCAAACAAGAAAGAACAAGAAGAGATGATGAAAATAATCATAAGCTTGATCTTTTTGACCAACAGTTGAAAATCAGTTTGGATCTCATTGACCGCTCGTCCTTTTTCATTTGTCTTCTTGGACACAGCTACGGACAGTGTCTGCCAGCCGACAATGGTTCTCAATCTGATATCGGACCATGTTCTTTGTCTGAGGTGGCTAGGAACTTGCGTGTTGCTGCAGAGGCTGGTTACCCTTGGGTTATGGAGGATGAGAATCGCACCAGTAGTCTTACAGAGCTGGAGATCACCAAGGCAGCCTTCATTGACAACAACAGAAGCTGCTTCTTTTATTTTAAAGACTGCACCCCACAGGACACAGAAGACGACAGCAGTAGTGAAATGTGCAATTTCTTGAACATGCTGTCCACTCAAAGCCAAAGTGAGAGACAGAGAATGAGAGATCTAAAAAAAAAGGATCATAAATCATTGTCTTCCTGTCAGGTCTGAGTTTACAAGTCACAGTGTCTTGAAACACAAATGCAGATTTATATGAAATACTAGCCCATTTGTGTATTATTTGTGTATATATATTGGGTATTTTAAATGCAACCTTTTCCCACCATCCTTTTCTTTCCACTGTGTGACAGATTCTTCAAAAACCTGCATGAACTTGAGGAGATGATAAAGGTGGACTGGGAAGGAGTCAAATGTTCATTTCATGAGGATCCAAAACATCCCATCTCCGGTAAGACTACACTTCTGGACCAGTTCTCAAAGATTTTTGTTACCTTTTAAAAGGCCACATTTTGGACTTTAATCAAATTCTTAATCAATTCTAAATTGTATTTTATTTTATTCAAATTTTTAATACTTTATCTATTTATATTGATTATATGTAAAAGAATATGAGCATATATGATGCATATGTGACCCTGGACCACAAAACCAGTCATAAGGGTCAATTTTTCGAAATTGAGATTTCTACATCATCTGAAAGCTGAATAAATAAGCTTTTCATTGATGTATGGTTTGTTGGGATAGGACAATATTTGACCGAGATGCAACTATTTGAGAATCTGGAATCTGAGGGTGCAAAAAAAATCAAAATACTGAGAAAATCGCCTTTAAAGTTGTCCAAATGAAGTTCTTAGCAAAGCATATTACTAATCAAAAATTAAGTTTTGATATATTTATGGTAGGAAATTTACGAAATATCTTCATGGAACATGAGCTTTACTTAATATCCTAATGATTTTTGGCATAAAAGAAAAATCAATTTTGACCCATACAATGTGTTTTTGGCTATTGCTACAAATATACCCCAAGACTGGTTTTGTTGTCCAGGGTCACATATTAAAAAATAGTTCAAAGTTACTATTATTACTTATGATAGTCAACCTGACACTTCAATGATAGGTATGATATTGATGAGTTGTTATTTGGCTTTGGGTTTTCTCAAACCAAAAAACAGAATATTAGGGTTCAAGTAAGATACATTTATGATTTTTGACTTGATTTGTTGTAGGATGGCAGGATTCATTCGATCTGCATTACCATGAGAGGCATGAGCGTACATTGTGTGACTGGTTTGTGCCCTCGGCACCCACCACAGAAATACTGAACGCACTAAACAAATTTCTGCATCCTGTAACCCATAATGCAAAATCTGAGATGCACTCGCCTTTAAAGTTGTCCAAATGAAGTTCTTAGCAAAGCATATTGCTAATCAAAAATTAAGTTTTTTTATATATTTACAGTAGGAAATTTACTAAATATCTTCATGGTACATGATCTTTACTTAATATCCTAATGAGTTTTGGCATAAACTAAAAATCTATAATTTTGACCCATACAATGTGTTTTTTGGCTATTGCTACAAATATACCCCAGTGACTTAAGACTGATTTTGTTGTCCAGGGTCACATATTAAAAAATTGTTCAAAATTACTATTATTACTTATGATAGTCAACCTGACACTTCAGTGATAGGTATGATATTGATGAGTTGTTATTTGGCTTTGGGTTTTCTTAAACCAAAAAACTGAATATTAGGGTTCAAGTAAGATACATTTATGATTTTTGACTTGATTTGTTGTAGGATGGCAGGATTCATTCGATCTGCATTACCATGAGAGGCATGCGCGTACATTGTGTGACTGGTTTGTGCCCTCGGCACCCACTACAGAAATACTGAACGCACTTAACAAATTTCTACATTCTGTAATCCATAATGCAAAATCTGAGATGCACTCAAGAAATCCAGGAGCTCATTTCACATGGTAAGAACATAAAAACCAAAGTAGGCAAACGGTGTTTGATTAACATATATTATGTTATGGGTCAAATTTTTGTGTGCTTTCAGTGATCTTGACCAGAACAACTCAGAGAAGTCTATTTTACTAGTATGCGGTGAAAGGGGTTGTGGGAAGTCCACTCTGGCAGCATGGTGGCTGCGGTCCTTCTGCAGACAGAATCCTGATGTTCCAGTCATCTCTCACTTCTGTGGGACCAGCACATCCAGCACTGATGTCAGGTCTATGCTCAGACAGTGTACTGCTCAACTTCGAAGAGCACATTACAGTAAATTGCCTCATTTTCCAGCAAAAATATGTTTATGATTCTTGGGAATTTGAATAATTGTCTATATAATTTCCAGAACAATCTAATTTCAAGCTATTATTGCAAATGCTCTTTGTTAGTTTATGAAAAAAAAAGTTAGATAAATGTAAAGATTATCCACTTAAAATTAGAAATTGGATTGTACACATAAATATTATAATTTGAATGTAAATGTATTACATTTTTAGTAAAAATCAATTAGAAGAAAACCGAACTACTGTCTTGACCAGACAAGAAGAAATCAATTAAAAATATCAAATATAAAAAGTAAACATTTAGAACATTTTGTACAAATATTTTAATAAAAATATTGTATATATATGTATAAATAATTTGTAATAATATTTTAGACCATCATAAAGACCAAAAATGTAATTCTTTTGACCTCATTTTAAAATAAATGTTAAATAATAAATTATAATAAATAAATGTAAAAAAAAATTAGAATTTTTATTGTACATGTAAATATTGTAATTTAAATTAAAGTCTGAATTACTAAGAAGATAAAAATTAGACAAGAAATATTTAATATAAATAAAATAATAAATATTTGTAATAATAAAAAATAAATATATATATTTTTTAAATATTATAAATAAAGACAAAAAATGTATAACAATTATTATTATTATTATTAATAATAAATATATTAAATAATATAAAATATTATACATATATATTTTTAAATAATATTTTAGTGCATCATAAAGACCAAAATATTCTAATATTTTATATTTTACATTTTTTATCTGCAGGTGATTTTCCAGATTGGGATGATAGTTTGGAGGACGTGATTGAGTTTATGCATCTCCATCGGGCAGTCCAGGCATTTACTGCTGCAGCCAGTCTTGGGCCTTGTATTCTTCTTGTAGATGGTATTGACCTTCTGACAGAAATACTTGCACTCTCAAAGCAAGAGGTGAACTTTCAATCTCCTGTTTGATTTAGTAATTAGTCTTTAGCTTTTTTATTTCAATAAAATAAACACCTTATTTCTGAATTCTGTTTTCCAGGTGAAGGCACTACGATGGCTGCCAGATGCTCTGCCTCGCTATTGTAAAATGATCATCACAACAACCTTCACTGACCTCACTTACAAAAGTCTGACCGGCAGGACCGATGTCCAGATTCTCAGCTGTCCCCATCTCTCCGATCCAAGTGTTCTGGGCAGCATTTTGCACAAACATTTGTCTTTGCCTTACAAGGAGCTGCCAGCCAGTGTTTTGCAAAGAGTTGCACGTAAGAAGCAGTGCCACATTCCAGCCTTTTTAGCGCTCATTGGCACAGAGTTACGGACATGTGGAGTGCTGAGGGAGAAAGAGGAAGAGATGGAGCTGTTGAAGGAGTATATAGAGGTTGATTCAATTCCAGAGCTCTGGGTGAAGGTCATTCATCGCTGGGTACAAGATTACAGCAGAACTGCTCCAACAGAATATATTACTTCTTGTAAAGTCACTGAGGCTCAAACAAGCACTGCATCACTCAGGGATGGTAAGTCCTTTTTATTTTGTTATATAAAACCATGCTTGCCGTGACTTTATTAGTTAAACCTAATAAGCATTTTCTCTTCTTCTCTACAGATCTCTCGGGCTGGGTGTGGGACACGCTCTGTCTTATTCATGTGTCTCGTGCTGGGCTGACTGAGCCTCAGGTTTTGGCTTTGTTGGAAGATTTAGGCTACTGTGGTAGTCTGCGAGTCCAGGTTTTGGAATGGGCCCGACTGCGCTCTACTTTTTGGCCTTGGGTTCAAGAGAAAGCCAATGGGCTTCTGACCATCACACATCAATCACTCAGCCAGGCTATTAACCTGTTGTTGCATGGTGAGGATGGTTTTAAGTTATTTGTCT